GATTTGGACTCACATGATCAAAATCATGAGGTTTATTAATAAATATCAATACTTTAATTTCAAACATAAATACGAACATATGATATTAGAATCACAAGATATGATCAGTACAATTTGAATGCAATCTTTCACGAAAAATATCTAATCAAGAATTTTCCAAGAAACAAGGAAATGTGCTTCAACCTTAATCAACCTTTAGTGATTTGTAATTTACTTCTATGTGTAATATAGTAAACTATAAGAAGTTTATTTTCAAAAGTTAAAAAAATAAAAAAAAGGAAAAAAATTTACGATAGAAACTTTAAATAATTTAACAGACGCAAATTCTTAGTAGTCAATTAGAGCTAAGGAAATTCTTGATTATTTAAAAATTGTTGCATTCAAAGTCGTGAAAATAAACTTAATTTGAAGTCTGATATGATATACAATTATTTTTATTTTTTAATTTTTAATTTTTTAACAGAAAATTTCAGAAGCGTAGGATGTAACATTTCAGTCTATCTCCCTACTATATAATTTTCAATTTTTAAAATAATATTATCATGAAAATTCATTAGAATCAAAGAATTTTGCATGCAAAATTAAACGTCACATTTTTTCCCTTTCATAAATAAATAATTTATAATTACTAAAATAAAATTATCAGATAGTGATATCTTATAATCTCAGCAAGAATTAGTTTCATCTAATTTAAATTCTAAAAAAATCATCATCAATTCTCATTTGAATACACCAGAAATATTTTTAAGTAAACACGATTTTTTTAAGCATATTTTTCGTATGGTATATTACAGCAAGGTTAAACTAGATAAAAAAAAATATGTGGCTTGCACATTCATGCCAAAAAACTTATAGTCAAAAATGACAGATAAGTTAAAAAAATTTCATGATCAACCAAAGCAACCTATAAATTTCTAGAAAAAATATAAGCACATTTTTAAGTATAATCAAATAAGTTAATGAAAATATATTTTCAATTTTCTGAAAAAAAATTCCTCATCTAACTATATCTATCTGAATTTTGTAAAATTGGCAAAAATTTGGGAAATTTGGGACAAAAAGTGTGAGAATTATTTAATATCAATACTATCTACTTTCAATGAACAAAAATTTGGTTTGAAACTTCGGTACAAAATTTTCAGCTTAATGTATTAACCTCAAAAATTTATAAATCTATAAATGCCTGAAATAAGCAAGAACAATTTATCTTAGAAATTTTATCTTTGAATGTTGCATAGACGATAAGGTTGGTTCTAGAGAAACAAACCTATATTCAAATTCAATTTTAAACTTCCAAAAAGGTCTGACTTCTATGCAGCAAATAATCTCAAGTTAAACATAAACATAACTTCTTTGAAAATATTACGATATCAGTAATTTGAAAGATTTAATACATGATCATCATATATTTTATGTATCTAAATCTATACAAAAATATTTTTTTCATTTATCCTAAGTTTTTGCTAGAAAAATAATCATTTTCTCTATTTGAATCATTTAGATTTTGAAATTACTTCTGGACTTGTATGTTTTTTTCATAATAAATTGCAAATCAAAATTATAAAAATATCTTTCAAATAAATTAAGAAATTTTTCAAAGTATGTTATACAATTATTAGGTGTTATCATCATTGAATCTTTACTTATTCATATTTATTTCATAAAAACTGTAACAATTTATCTCCAAAACAGCAACCATTTCTACTGGAATTTTTCAAAGAATTTGAGGTTAAAAAATAATATTTTCACTTTTTCAATAAATAATATAAATCCTAACTTAAATCGTAGGATTAAGTTATTTTGATATACATACATACATATATATATATACATACATACATACATACATATATATATACTATAATTACATGAATATGAAAAATATTTCACAAAGAATATAATGCTCTGGTTTTTTCATCTAGCTATTATCTATATACATCTCTTGTACTCATACATACCGTTCCATTGCAATTCAAATTATTTCATTCAAAGGCATTTCTATTTACTTATGAAAATAATTGTATTTTCTTGGTCGCTAAAATCTATGTTTTCCTTCTTTCGGCTGTATATATCAAATTACTTCACATTTGATCATGTGTTGTAAGTGTGGCAGAAAGTGAATTTTCCAGATATTTTGAATATGTCAAAAGATTAGATGAAACATAATCATAAGGTATTTCTTATGCAGTGATTTTCATTTGTTCGATGTTTTCGACCATCATCAGTCATCTACTAGATTTCAACATACCAATCACGTACAAGAAACGGACAAATTTTGGGACATTTGACTTCGAATAGATAACTCAACATGACAGGAATTATTAGACTGTCTTTAGTACTTGGCACTGAGCTAGACTTACATCGTTTTCAATTTTATGATTATGCAGTCATCCATATTTGTACATGCTTAGTCCCTTTTCTCCTCTTTCCGGATATTCAAGATTTGGAGTTCTGGCTCAAAATGTGGGACTGAATACATGTCCAAATCCTAGGATCTTCCGTATACTCCAAGATACGGTAAGAATTTATTACAACTTGCGGTAACACAGGCCAAACTTGCCTATGAGGACATAAGAAGATGATCGAAGTTCACGCCATAAATGTCACATTGAAATATCAAGATTGGAGATAAATGATTACTGATAGTGATTATTTCTAATTTCTATCATAATATTTCATTCATGTATACAAATGTTCAAATTGTATCTCTTTTGCAGTGAATTAATTAACTAAAAAAAACTGCATGAATTCAAAAATAAGCAATAAGCATTATAATCTCAGAAAAAATTTCTCTTTTTCCTAAAATAATCAGGAATAAATATGAATGAGTATACATTTCATGAGAGAATGATTAAAGAAAAATTAATATTTTTCTAGAAAATAAAATAATGATTATATTCATAATTTCATTTGACTAGCATCTAAGGTTTATATGGAACAATAAGGTCATTTTACTCTTTGGGGTTTGAAGATTGTGAAAAAGAATTTCATTTCTTGAAAGAGCTTATAGAATTTGGTATAGTATAGGAGATTAAAAATTGATCTTGTTAGAGGATATGGTGCGGTTTGTTTGGAACATTTTACCATGAGATACTTAATTTCCTTCCTCTTTAGTGTAAGAAGAAATCAAAGGACCGGCTATAAAAGGAAACTATATATATGTGTAGGGAACAAACACTATGTTTAGCTTCTTTTCGCACACATAAGAAACATCAGTTGCTTAGGACTAAACTTTTAAGCGTGACTTACTTCCTTTTGTGATACTGTTGGAACTAACCACATGTTACCCGCTTTGCTTTGATGTTTGTTCACATATTTTTGTAATAATGGTTGGTGGACTAGTCACAAATAATGAAAAAAAAACTCAAAACTACAATCACATTAAACTACACCCATACATACGCTACGGCCATGGACGTGTGGGCTTCTCTATCCGGAGCATGTTTCCGAGTATGAAGTTTTGTATCTAAAGGCAGCCAGCTCGGAGTTTTACCATACCTCTGTGTACTGGTACTGCAGTGCTATATCCCTACGGGGATTGCGAACATTGAGTATGAGGGTGCTGTACGATCGCACTGCTGCCATGGCTACCAAATAAAGCGCAGTACCTCCACTGGCTTGGTGCGCTACGCCTTGGGGTCATTATGTCTGCCTCACAGACTTGCGCGAACCTCCTACCGCTGAGGCCAAAGATGGCTCGGTCAGACATTCTCGCCAGTGAGAAGGAACTCACTCCATTTTATACTTCACACCAGTTCTAAGATACTATACTTTTGTGTCCATTGCTCCTCAATCGGGCCACAATGCGAACATGGCTGCCTGTGCGCAAAGGATCCACGACATCAAGTCCCAGGTCATGCACCATGAGCTCTCTCTTCAATACTCTTCGGTGCGCTTTTCACGTACGTTGTAATAGTCACTGGAAACTCTGAAAACGACACGGCGGAGACCCCACTATCCCTTTACCTAAAAATCCCTTACACATCACGAGACAAATGCATCGCGCTCTGACAATCTTTTTCAGCTGACTTCTGATAGAACCTACACTAAGTATCCATTCTAATGAACCTGCACCACGACTCTTGTCTATAAACAACATGATCTCCTCTACAATGGTTGACGTTATCTGTTCTGAAGTGTAACAAACTTTTGGAAGGCGACGATTGTTCACTTCGATTCACAATGCGACGTTGGATCTTTCCTGTATATTGCTAGCAGCGTTACCTTTTCCCAGACTTTAAACCTTCAATGAACGAATGTAAGACGTATATGTCCATAGGCCCTTTTCTTGGAAGAAATCGCAGGTTTGGCTTTGCCGCGTAAACGTTGTTTTTATGTTTATTGATGATTATCAGTGTGCTTGTATGTACGCCTTTTTTTTCCATCAATTTGAACTTTCAATTTATCTATTTGGATGTCTATTTGTCAATTTGTCTATGAAATGCTTTTTTAGGTATCTATTTTAGTTTATATATTTATGATTAATGTTAGTTAAACATAAATATGGACAGAAAATTTAGAATATGATTAGGTTCTTTATGTTCATGGATAGTTTGGAAGTTTTACATTATTTTCATTTTTCAACTTTGGAATTTTCTTAACAATTTGTTGTATTTTATTTTTTCTCCCCAATTTTTCAGTGGGAAAATTTCGGCACTGGTTATTTACAGTGAAATTTTAAGTTGGTTATTTAGATCATGGTCAGTTATGAAATAATTGATTAATCATGTGCTTTAGTTTCATACACTTCTTTACCGCCATTCTTTTTCACAATACGATTTTTACCAGCTTTTGTGTACATGGGACTTCTGAGTCAAAATTTCCTCAGTAGTCATCGCAGAATTTTTCCGTCAAACTGACAAGTCAGTAGGCATCAACAGTACTCTGTGATTTCTGTCAAGATTGGTATGTCAGGAGGGTAGTATTTGACAGGACTGGAATCAGAGTAATATACCATGTATACGATTCGACATTTTGCACAAAAGGTATATATTCAATTGCCGCAATAACGTCCTACGTTTTATACAAAATGGTATACTCAAGACAAGGCTACACAAACTCCACCTTTACTGCAGTCGATTCAAAAAGTGTACATACCGCAGCGGCAGCTTCCTAGTGGAGACGCTCCAAGTAAAAACTAATGAAAATCTTTAGAATGGGAGGGGACTTCCGGAAGAAAGTCAATACCCGAACCACTAGCCTTGCAGAGTGGTGAGACACATGCCCCTCATCAGTGTGCAAGGCGCGCATCAAAATAAGCCCGGGTTGAGCTAGAGATGGCGCACAGGCACACTCGGGTGCATAATGCCTTACCACTTAGCAAGGAGGCATCTGTGGTGCGTTCTTGACTATTTCCTGCACGTCCGTTCCACTTCAAAGTCTTTGATGGTTAAAAGCACTCCAAAGGAGGCGTGATTCGACATTATTTGTCAACGTTCTGAGATTTGTAACCTAGCTGACTGCTAATCCTGATTGACTGACTTTACGACAGGCCTGAGACCAGTGCGATGTGAGGAGCACTCAACACCGTGCTCAATGTGAGCTTCACAAGGTGTTGAGTACCCCTCAACCATCGCGCTCTCACAAGCACTAGATACGAGCATGTCTACTTCGTCACACTCCCGAAGCGAAGCTCTTTTCAACTTTCTGTACCCTGCTCCTGCGATAACCTGAGAACATGTCTCCCTCCTCGGCATTTACCTTCGTCGTCACTTCCTCCCTTTCTTGTCAGTATGCAGAGTGAAAACCGCTTGTGCAGATTTCACCAAGTAACCCATCCCCAAGGCGATATTCATATTCAAGACTCGTCGGGCACCTGAAGAGCTTGCTTGATTCGCTGGACAGTGCAGGAGATAAGGTTGTTGACGGTTGCCACAGATTCGAGAGATAGCTTCGCCGATGGCACGCTGGACACCAAAATCTGAAACGCTACTGTAAGCAGCGCTCCGCCTGTTCTCCTTGGGCTTTCAGGAAGGCCGCTACCGTCCCCAAGCGAGCGGCGGTTCTCAGGACCGTCGGGTAGGATCGCGAAGCCTGAAGGTAGCAGTGCTACGTAGGCGGGATCTCCGCCTTGCAATACCAAGGTCATCGCGGGAATATCAACAGGTGCGTAGATCACTAGAGAGCCAGACACGTCGGTGCAACTCTCCTGGAGAATGAGCATGTTGCTTTGTCCAGGATTGATAGCCTGCACATCACCAATTAAAAGATTCTTGAGCTCAGGCAAGCACTCAATGAGCTGAGATGATTGCGATTACACATTAGGAATAGAATAGAACAGAAACTGGAAGCCACGGCTTCAGCTTACATTCACTCGGAGAAGTGACACGCTGTTCCCAGGGTCCTGGCCTTTCGCAATGTGAGCCATCTCCGCTACATGCCCACCATTGGACAGAATATCCCACTGCAGACGAGACAGACATATCAGATATAGCATTAATGAGGGATGATTGAGAGACGGCATCGCGGGCTGTGCGGCAGGGGAGGTTTGCTTAAGAGTCGCACCTCATGTCTGAGACGTTCGTCTCTCAGAAACTCAAAAACTCGCTGAGGGGACACGGGTAGCCATAGCGAAGTAGCAGCGCTGAGAACGATGCCATGCGGTTCACCGGGGTTATCGACACTCTTGCGAGTCATAACTCGGACGTCGTCCTCTCCACTTCCTGCCAATGTAGTCCACGTGTGGACAGTAGAAGCGCTAACTCCGGCGCAGAAGTTGTTTGTCATTCTTTGAGCAAGCTTGAGCATACTTCGTCTACCATTGGCAGTCGGCACACCTGCGCGCAGAGACGATGTCAGGAAGCGTCAGGAAATGAGGAGATGAGGTTGAAATGGTTGCAGCAGGAGCGTGTAACAGGCGCAGAACTCAAGACTAGTACTCACCACCTAGATCTCTCTGAGAGAGGTTGCTGGCCAGCATGCTTGCAAGACGCTCACATTGCCTTTGTAAGGTGGCTAACCATCGTTGTGCTCCGAAAGCTTGGCCGCTATTTACTAAGGATTTGTACATCCGGTTCACGGTTCTGTCGTCGTAATCCATGTGCTCGAGGACAGTCACCTGCAATGTGAGGAGACATGAAAGACATTTAGTAAGCCTCCGCACTGAGCCCAACCCGGACGTCAAGTTCACCCAAAGTCTCAAACGAACGCAATTAATGAATCACTACCTTCGAGTAACCATTCGGCATGTCCTGAATAAGGCATCCAGAAGGCCGTCTTCGAGAACGCATCAACGCCGGAGGTGGGTTGTCTCTGAGACTGTCGACAGACACATCGACTACAGCCCAAATTCCTTCGCCATGCTGCTTGCAAAATCGCAAGAAGTAGCACTCACGTGTGGGAACAAGGGGAGATAAAACCTGAAGCTCGGCGTACATCTGCCAAAATAACAGTCAGAGTCAGTATTATCCCAAAGTAAGCCCGTGCATAAGTCATGCACGCATGTAGCCTCTGTAACCGACTTACCAGTTGAAGAGCGCCATTCCGATTGCACGCGCCGATGCCCGTAGAGAGAACCTCTACAGTGAGTGCTCTAGAGACCATGCAGGGAAACATTTCGGTCCATCGAACCTGCACAGACAGTAAATGACATGAGCTACAGCTGATAAGCTTAGGACACCACAGGACGGAATGACCAGGAAAAAGCTCAAAAAGAGAAGATGAGGTTGGTCGTACATGATCCATTAGAGTCTCCACCAAAGTAACACCGTTCATCATGACTAGACCAGTCTCTCGAGTGGCCTCCGTTTTCAATCCGAAAGGCTTCGGACCAATCCCTCTGGGAAACTGACGCACGTACTCGTCGTAATTTAATGTTTCCTTCGCACCATCGTGACCAGGAATCCATAACGGCTCGTCTGATTGCGCAAGGCGAACGAGTTCGTCCATAGCTGCGACAGCAAGCTCGAAGACCATTGGTTTCTCAGCATCCGACAGACCACCTGGCCGTGTCGCCACATCAGCTACGGAGGGGCCTTGAGGTACGAGGTCAGTGCCAGTTCCCTGATGCATTCCAAAACTACCTCCAACTTGTAGCTCTAGGGAGGACGTTGACATTGGGGGTAAAGAGTTCATTGGTGCGACAGGGCGCCCCAAATACTTCGCAGCTAGTGCTGATACGCGGTCGATCTACAAAAAGTTCACATTGCGTCAGTGGGTATTCAGAGAGGTGACGAGGGAATGTGACGAGTAGAGGACATAGCTTCGAGTCCGGTGAAGGTTATCAGTACCTCATCTTTGAGGCGAGCATTCTCTATGCGCAGCTGCTGCTCATCAAATGACATCTCTCCCATCGTCGTAGGACCCCCACAGTGCGGACAGGAGGCGTTCTTCATGGCGTCTCGCATGGTAATGTTCTCAGAACGAAGCTTCTCGTTCTCAGCTCGTAGCATAGAGTTTTCAGCTCGTTCCTGCTGAGCCTGCAGAAGGTCAAACAGTGGGACTCAGCTCTCTCCAACCCGTCAAAGCTAGAACTTGCCCGAAAACCAACAGTGGTATCAAGTAGCTCGAGAGTTCTCACCTTCATCTGCGTCCTCCTGTTTTGGAACCAAAACTTGACCTGGCGAGGCTCCAGGCCGAGCTCCTTGCTGAGTTCCTGCCTTTGCTTATCATCTGGGTGTGGGCACTCTTTGAACACCCTACAAAATGAAGTGAGCAGCTGAAATATCAACACTCAACCCAAGGATGACAGTAACAAGCTAGAAGTATTCAATGAAAAATGAACGAACTTCAAGTGTTCACATCTAGCTCTTACATTTCCATTTCCTGGATCTGGCGCGGGGTGTGGCGGTGATAGCGCTTCTTGCGCGGGGGGTGATCAGGGTCCTGATCATCCCCAGAGCCTCCTTCCATGTTGTCGCTACCCGATCTACTCTCATACTCCTCATTGTCTTTCTGCTTCACCTGCTCACTCTCAGCACTCTGGCTGACCTGAGGCTGACCTTCCAGCCCACTCGGCTGCATCAAATCACTGAATGATCTCAGTAAATGTTGTCAAGCTCACTGTAGTCGAGAGCAGGCGAAGTAAACCGTTCAGCTTCAGGACACAGGCGACTCTTTGCAAACCACTTCACTTCACTCCACACTCAAATTAGAAACGCACTGTGCTTGAGCTCCAGTGTCAGAAGCCCCTCCACCCCCCAACTTGGTGAATAAAAGCAAATACTATCAAATGCACTCACGCCTTGTGAGGAGCTGCATATCAAGCTATTCGAGCTCAAACTCCACGCAGAAGTTAACTCACCGGTGCCAGAGATAGGCCTGGAGATGTAAACACATTCTTTTGGGGTCCCCGCGCCATTGCATTGGGTGGCGCTAGTCTCGGAGGGGCCATTACGGAGGATGGCATAACAGCTAGTTCTGAGAGATATTTCGGCCCTACTCCCCCTCCGTTCGCTGTCACCGTAACTGTCACACCCCCCAACCTCATTCCTTCACTGATATCGAAAGCCACGGTGCCCACTCTTAACCTCTCTTCATGGCTACAATCAGTGTGGTTCTCCTTCTTTTGCGTTACCACACTAGATGGCACTGCAGGATCAGAACTCCAACCTACGCGAGCTCCTAATGAGCCACCTACTCCTCTCGAACTCTACTTAGTTACGATGTGATGTTCAGCTGCCCCGTCCTCGGAGGCCTGGACCTGTTTGAAGCCTTCGGAAAACAGGGAGGCTACTTCGCTTGGAGGGAGGAATGTACAATGAGAGGGCAAATCTGACATTGTCTACTTCGAGAATGCTTTTTACAAATACACAACCACCGGGTAGTGGTGAGGATTGAGAAACAGGAAGATTGCGCAGTCAAGGCATCTTAAAGGTCACTGACAGAAGCACGTACAGAAGAAGTAATGAACATAAGGGGGAAAACAAAAGAAAAACTGAACGAAGAGAGCTAGGGACTAGAGAGAGTGAGGGAGGCAGGTGTTGCTAGTGTTTGTCACTCGTCTGGAGTAAACCCAGACGAATAAGAAACACTGACCTCACGTTACTTTTGCCTCCTTCCCTCTCTCTGAACGTCCAGAGAGAAAGAGGGAGAGAGAAGGCAAGCACCTGCCGTGCTGACTCTCCTTTCTCTCTCTTTCTCTCCCTCTCAGAGAGAACTATTACACTGCTCTCAACCTCCGAGGACCAGGCACTACTAACAACGCATGCGAAAAGAGGGGAGGTGAGAGCTAGGTGGAAACCAGGGTATGCAGCGGCGAGCTTCAAGCGTTACAGACAACAGTCAGAATTGCTCGAAAGAGGAGAAAAGTCGACGACGAGCTCTCACACACTGCTACCAATCCTCCGCAGGTGAGCTCGATGCAATCGTCTCGACAGACCCAATCCTAGCTAGAACAACAGACGAGAAGCGAACACGAACCGAACACTGCGACGAGGGCAGCTTCTCCACGCCCACGAAGGTGTCGAAGAGAGAGCCCGAGCTGCCTAGTACGACCGAAAAACGAGGTCGAGAGCTAATGAACGAGGACAAAGAGATAGACCCGCTACGTCGGACAGAGTGAACGAAGGGTGTTTCTACGACTCGAGGCGGCCCAGCTCCTCCTCTCCACCTCCTACCCTCCCACGGCAAAAACTACACCTCAACGAAGACCGAGCACTTAAGAGTGCAGAGAACGACTGATGACTGGCTGCCTGACTCAGAGACAGTCAGGCTTACGAAAGCCCGGAGAGTTATGATCTCCGTTGTGTATATGCAGTTATATCCCAAGCCCCCCACCACTCGGTGCTCCTGCTGCTGCTCGGGAACTCCAGCTCCTGCTCCTCCTCCTGCTCTACTCGTCCCCTCTACCCTTCGTTGCTGATTACACCATTTGACTGACCCACTCGTCGTCTCCTCCAATCCTCGCGTGCTACTTCAAACCATCACCTTGGTGGGAAAAGAGAAAGTGGGATAGCAACACGGAACGTCCTCCGTGTTAAAGAGCAGTGCGAGCTAGTCATGAAACGGAGGGAGATGTGCGTCACTGAAGGAAGAAGATCAGACGCAGATGCGGACAAACTCGGCTATCTTCATAAAGGCGGCTGGCTGGCCCCGGTATCCCTCATATTTGCGCTGCCCTCCCTCCAAAGGCTCCAGCGGCCCCGGCCCCGGCCCCCGGTCCGAGTTCTCAGTGACCTGCTTTCGGTAATAACACCCCGCCCTGGGTCCCTCGCCCCGTACTCCTCTAAAGCTCGGGTCTCCGCCCCTTACAGTGCCTCAACCACTGGTTACGAAGGAGGCCACGGGTCGAATCTGGACTAGACGGAAGTAGGTAACGGCATCCCCTCCCGGGCGCCCCGCCACCCGATCTCAGAACCGGGATTCCATACACGATGTTGCTGCAGTTTACCTCCGCCTCGACCGGGGCAAAACCTTACCCGAGAAACTTATCCCGAGGGTCTCGTAATTTCGCATCTACCGTGTCGAGGCTCCGGAGCAGTGCCGTGAAAACAAGAAGAGTAAGTCGGAGGGCAGTATCCGGTTACCTCGAACGGCCTGGCCAACTTCATATGGACGGAGTGTTTCGAAAGGCCCGCTAGGGTTTGCTTCAGTCCTGCGTTGTGCGACAGCTCTGCACTGAACTCTTCCTTTTCTACTCGTTTTCGCTTCGAGAGCACTACCCATGAAGACATAAATGTGGTACGCGTCGGCGCCACAGGACGGCTAAGGGCGCGTGGGGTCGGAGCGGGGCCCGCCTGCGTGCCGAGGCCCTCTGCCCTTAGCGACGGCGGGCCGGTAACTCGTCGCGCCCTCACTACTAGTCGCGACAAGCCTTTGCGGCGCCGTTTACATGCTAGCATGTCTGGTTAAAAGCCCCGATATGGACAGCGAGACAAAAATTCCTCCCTCCCCAATTCAGCGGGTTGTACGGGGAGGGACTTTAAGAACATTTCAACAAGGAGATCAAGAAGACAAATTAAATTAACTTAGAGATAATGGGCCCGGATGGATGCGATTCGATGTCGGTGATGGGCCTCAATGTACACTAGCGTCCATATACGTCAATAATGAGGTGACACCTGTGCCTTTTGAGATGGTATCAAATGTCAGTGATCTTCAGCATGTGGCGCTCCACCGACCCCATTAGGACTAAGTTGGAGGAGGAGGTCCTTAATTTAGGGCCCAGGCCCGAGATGAGTTTAGTTAGAATGTACTCCAGCTTAGCGGCCGGTGAAGAGAGTCGACAAAACTAAGGCGGGAGAGGAAGTAGAGCGTTTCCATCTTTTACTCTCAAGCGCCGTCAAAGAAATTTCGATAAGGGTTGCCCGACCCTCCTGGATATCCCACATAAATAACACGAAACCCAACACATGCCAAGTAATACTCCAAATTAGACAGCTTTTCTTGTAGTCATGACATGCAAAGTTCTATATATACACATAATAAATCCAGGTAAAATGGTAAGAACTTAAACACCTATCCCATATAGTAGGAAGAGCTAATGCCCAAAGTTCTAGCAGCTAAACAACGAATCCCTTTGTCAAGGACTAGTCGTTTGATGGACTTAGCTGCTTTTAGTGTTTACGTAAATGGAACTAATGAAGACGAGTTGAAATGCTTCCGCAACCTCATGAATATGTTTTCCTTCTATCATAAGAAAGACTTTTTGGAATAATACTTCAAACTTCTCTTCTAACATTGATGATGAAGACTATTTTTCCTCCATGTAGACAAGATTATTTATCACCATTCCTTCCGTGTACCCTTCAGACGATGTTCCCTTGACAAAGATCCATCGATAATAAAGATCTTGCATCTACCATGGTACCTGGGTTTGTATGGCGTGATGAGATAAATGTCGCTACAATAATCACTTGCTGCCCTCCAAGAAACAATCATGCGAGCATATGAAAAATGATCTTTCATGTACATGTGTGTTAGGACAGTTATTGCTTTGGAAAAAAAAACTCACATATGTGGAATTGACCTAGAGATTTTATACCTGTAGTTGTCAAAGGTCGTAATTCTGAAATTTCCTGTCGCCTCTCATGCTTAACTACAAAAGATGTTGCAGCGGTGTTTCGAAAGAACCGCTAAGAAAATTCGATCAATCTCGTCATGATGCCATTAAAGCCCTCGCAGGCATGCAGGATGGCAGTCATGAGGCATAACAACCAAGCAAAGACCATACACATTGTTCAGCGTAAGGTAAGACATCTTAAAAAAGACAGCAGAAACGGATAAAATAACTTACAAAAATGCTCACTGGTTCCCAAGTTTTGTCCTATGGAATGTGAGACGTATTCAATAATAATCAGTATGATAAATTATAATGTCTCCAACCATGGAATAAAGAACAAGATGATAAAACACAATGCCTCCAACCATGGTTTAAATAGCCTAGTAAAACATCTAGAAGGAGATTCGAAGTCAAAGCATGCTGGAAAATAACCAACCCGAGGGACAGATATAAAAGTAGGGAGCTGCTCTTTTTCGTGATTAATTATCATGTCTCCAACAACGCGCCTTCATGTAGATTGTGATCAAGTTTGATATCATCGAGGCCAAGACCAGACATCACCTTCTCTCAAGAACATGAGTTGGTGTTATAATGTATCATAGAAGCTTTGTGGATTCACTCAAGCAAAAGGATAAATTTTAATGTATTGTAGTGTTATCAATATGGATATGATTTATTTATAATGATGGTAAAATATAGAGAGATGAGATTTTAAATTTTGCTTAAGACAAAGTTATAAACAGGATCACATAGTTTGGGACATTTAGAGTCGTTCAAAAATATGTATTCTAATTAGGTCTCATAAAATAGGGTTCCTTTATTTTGACTTCATATCATATCACTATTTTTGTAATATATGTATATCATATTTTCTGTCATGGATTGAACAACTAATATGAACATAAATCTTCTCTGCTTTGAATTCATAGCAACGAATAGTTTGGCATAACTTTATACCCTTCTTGAAAATGCATACACACAAATCATCGCAAGTCCTTACAGCACATAACATCGCAAGTTCACTCTTGTGAGCTAATTTCCTCCTCTCTATGTAGTCACCTTTTCTTCTCATATAAATATAGATTTTATAAAATATGACATGATATATTCATAACATATAATTTCACATATATACATTTAGCAAGCATACATACATGCACCTGCCTTCGGCACCCCGTCCTCACTTTCAGAGTAACGACTTCGGGCATGGCCTGCTGCCACAGCGTGACCGGTGGGTTGTACAAGTCACAAGTACAGGTTGATTCTATCATGATTCATAAACAAGCATATTATCATACAAAGATAATATGAAAATCTTTCTCCCCTCTCAATTTGTTCATAAAATATTGTGTTATTCCCAGAAAAAGTTACATTAAGTTTCATCCAATTAATACCATGCTCTATCATCCTCAAACACTAAGTAATGTTCGCCATAATTATGCTATTTACTCTATCCCTATTAAAACTTTCTTTCCAATAATACTATTTGAAGCTACATGAGGCTAAGATTATCAGTCTCAAGTAATGCATTTAAAATTAGTTAGGTTCAGATATTTTACTACTGCTTTGAAATTAACAGTTAAAACAAAATAGTAAACTTCTACTTCAATACATAGTTGAAAAAAAAAAAAGTTTTAGATAATTTCATTTGATACTCAATTTTAAATAACGAACATGATGAACATTCATAACTATGACAGTCGAATTTTGATTATATATTTTACTAAAAGTGTGAATTAATTTTGTATGTATAGATTATTAATCATGATTATAAATCTATACTTTAAATATCCAGATTTTTTAATTTTCATGAAAAAAATCAGTCATGTGATATTCAATTTTTGGTAGATTGAGATTCACGATTAGATGAAATTAAACTCACGTAAGTTCACAACAATTTCAAACTTTTCAAAAGAAATTTTATCACTACCAAAATGTCAAAATCAAAATTATGATTGTCAACAGAAAGAATATTTAAGATAAAATTAAAATAATATATAAAATTACAAGTACAAAACACTGTATTTACTATAACACACTGCATTCTATGATGACAATTTTTTAACTAGACTTAAATTACAAATGACTTGTGTTTGATGTTATGAAATATAATACATGAAAATTGAATATTTTACATGACCAAATGGAAATGGCTAAAATTATTTATGAGCATTATTTCCAAATAAAACGATTAAAAAAACATTGTGGTGTTTTTATCCTTGGTGGTGAAATTGATATCAATAGAGTATGTGACATAATGACATATGATCAAACTTTTAAACATTAAGAGAATCTTATTATGAAGATATATAGAGATGAATCAGTACTGGAATTTATTTATATTTTGTATGATTTAGATAACAAACAAAGTTTAATGGCATATCCTAAACCCTAAACTAGTTTAAATATATATTATAAATACAATCAATTTTTATGTGATCTGAAGTAATTTTTGTG